ACCGGCTGGCCGAGGAACGATTGTTCCGCGCTCGGCCAAAACCGAATTCGTCCGACTGATGTCTCGGCCAATGCTTCAAGCCATCCGGCCGATCACGCAGTACGACCCGGGATACATTGTCCCGCGGTCGGCCAAGTTTCAAGCAACCACGCCAAGCCGCGCACGACCAAGGCGCGCGACCCGGGAAACAAAGCCGCACGGCCGCGCAACTCGTTCCGCGTACCACGGCCGATGCACTCGTCCGACCAGGGGAAGATCGACCCACGTCCGGCCGAGATCTTTTCCAGCGAATGCCATCACTTTCGTGTGGGGAGTCGCCTAAGGACTTACAAGCCAGGGGTAGTGGTCATGTAGCCTTAAGATCTATCCAAAAGAGAGAGAATCTAGATTAAGACCATAAGCTAGAAGGATTAAGCATATGAAACCTCTAATCTATCCCATCTCAAACCCTAATGGGTAACTACTCACTACACATGAATGTAAACACAAGCAAATGCAATAAAAGAGACATCATAAGAAAGAGGAGATGAAATTAAACAACTTTTATTGAAATAAGCAAGTGCAAATACAAAGAGAGATTATCCAGGATCTAGGATTCAAGAAGCAAGAGCTTCAAGAACACAAAGATGGGATTAGATCTCTAAAAAGTAAAAGACAATAAATTAAAAGAAACTAAAACAAAATAATCTAAAGCTTGGTGGTTTTTTCGTGGCTAGAGCCTTTAAATACAAAGAGGATTAGGTTTAGGGTCAAAGGAAAGTCAAGGGGGAAGCAACATTTTTCGGGTTTGACTTTGACTTCCCCAGCTCGATCGAGTTGAAGCTTGGCCGGTCGAGTTGAGGAACTCGACCGGTTGGTCGAGTAGACGGTCGAGCTGGTCTTCAAGATGGCTTCTCCCTTCTTCCTTTGCGTATCCAGTTGAGCTGCTTCCATGTGCCAAGTCCCTCCATGCTCCTTATGTCCCATATGCTCCAGAATGCTCCAAAAGACCTATTTCAAAGGACCAAACATGCATATGTATGCAAATGCAACCTAAAACTAACATGAATGCATAAGAAGAGAAAAGGAACAAGATATGATGCAAATGGAGCTAAAACTATGCAAAAGATGCATAAAAGATGTGCTAAAACTATGTAAAATGCAAGTACATCAACACCCCCAAACTTGAACTTTGCTTGCCCTCAAGCAAACAAATAGAACAAGAAAGAGATGAGGTTTGAAAAAAGCTGATTCAACACTTAAAAACATGTCCTCAAAAGCGATTTGCTAAATGTCCAACTTAGAGATTCTAGAATGCAACAAGGTGAGAGATATTCATTAAGATTTAACCATGCTTATCAACATCAATCCCACTTCACAGTCACTCAAACAATGCATTCAAATCAGCAAATCCCTTTAACATTCATTAAGCAAAAACAGTGAACCAAAAACATGCAAGATCAATCAACTCATTTGGTTTCAAGGGTTTATGGGTTAAGAGACAAAGAGGGTCTCTTTTGTATGGTGGTTTAGTAACAGGGATCTCTCAAGAAAGTGGCTTTGCTTTGGCAGAAGGCTAAGTGTTAGAACCAAAGATGATGCAAGAACAGCAGCTCGAGCCGCCTAATCCTAACTCGATCGAGTTCAACACTTAGAGCTTTTTAGAACAAAATCCTAACTACCCTTTTTGGCATTTCGCCTTTGAAACTGAGGAGCTTTGCTCACTTTTCTTTTAAGAACTTCCTAGGGAGAGGCTTCTTGAGGTAACATCTAGCGGTTTGGGATTTTCTAAACACTTAGGGAACTTTTCTTTCCTTTTTGACACTTGAGGCTTTGCCTTCTTTTCATTCTACTTAGAACCCTTTTTACTTTCCTTTTTTAACTTCCCAAACCTTTACTAGACCCTTTTTAACACTGCCAACTCCCTGGACTTAACTAAACTCTTTTTCCTTTGGGTTTTTCCCAACTTTTACCACTTTTCTGGTTTTTACACCCAACTCGATCGAGCTCGAGTTGGCACCCCCAAACTTAGCCTGAAAACAATCCCAAGAGAACTAGACAACTAGAACTACTGCCCCTGCCGGTTTAAACACAACACCTTATGCTAAGCAAAGCCAAGAAAGGTTCTCACATCGCACAAGAGATAAAATGGGGTTTGAAATGAAAAGGCTTAGGTTTAAGGTGTGGTAACTGTCTCAAAGATAGAGATCAGCTATCTGGACAAGCAAAGGGATATGAAAAGGTAAAGAATGTCCAGATATGTATGTGGTAGCCATGAGTTGAAATCAAATGCAAGCATTGGTAATTAAAGATCAAGTTATGGTTCAAATAGATAGGGAAATGCATCAAATCACAGCAATGGTTGAATGAGATGTGCATGCAGTGATATGATCAAGATAAACATGGTTCTTGCTGCTCAATCAATCTCACCCTAATGCACAAAAGAATCTAAAAACAGGGCACTCAAGAAATCGCAAAAGATGGACAAGTTTTCAAAGTCAAATCAACAATGCAAGTGAAAAATGCAATCCTAAACAAGTCTAACAAATATGAATGCAAAAAGATGAAAATATTTTTGGATTTTTTGAAAATTTTATGATTTTTTTGGTTTTTCTATGCAAAAGATAAATGAAAAACTAAGAACAAAGAAAACAAGGTTAAATCATCTCTTGAACCCTCCCCCAAACTTAAATCACACAGTCCCTTGTGTGAGAAAAATTAGTGAAAGATTCAAGAGGGCAAAACCAAGAAAAACAAGAACAAATGCAAGAAAATATGAAATGGTATATACAAGGGTTGGTGTTTGGATACCTCAGTGTCCCCCAAAGAACTGGGAGACTAGGTCGTGGTCTGGAGATGGGAGACGGCCATCAGGAGCACTCCACTGACTGGGTCTTGCGGCTCACTCGATCGAGCTTGTCTTGACTCGATCGAGTTGTGCCTCGAGTTAGCCACTCTCCTTCCTAAAACCTGCTCCTGTGAGACTCAGCCAAGAAAAATCATAAAAATAAAAGGATAAAGTATAAATACATAAGATAGACATGGGAATTCCTCCCAAGTGAGCTTGTTTTAGGTCTCTTAGCTTGACCTTACCCCTTTTAGGCCGGGGTTGGATCTTCTAGAGGAGTGATGATCTCCTCTGTGGGGGTCATTCCTAGATATGGCTTGCATCTATGTCCATTCACTGTGAATTCCTTCCCCTCTTGATTGAGTAAAGTGAGGGACCCATAGGGTAGAACTTCGTGAATCTTGAATGGTCCCGCCCACTTTGACCTCAGCTTCCCGGGAAACAACCTTAGCTTGGAGTTATACAAGAGCACACTGTCCCCAACCTTGAAGTCCTTAAGGCGAATCAGTTTGTCGTGGGCTGCCTTGGTTCTCATCTTGTAAATCCTAGAGTTCTCATAGGCATTCATTCTTATCTCCTCCAGCTCAAACAAGTTCATTACCCTCCTTTCTTGTGCTGCCTTTATATCAAAGTTCAGCATCTTTACTGCCCATAAAGCCTTATATTCGACCTCCACAGGTAAGTGGCAGTCCTTCCCATACAGCAAATTGAAAGGAGACCTTCCAATGGGGGTTTTGTAGGCTGTCTATAAGCCCAAAGTGCCTCATCAAGCCTTGCTGCCCAGTCTTTCCTAGTGAAGCTCACAGTCTTCTCCAATATGGCCTTGATCTGTCTGTTGGAGACTTCAACTTGCCCACTGGTTTGAGGGTGATAAGGCGTGGCGACCTTGTGTTTGACTCCGTGGCTTCTCATCAACTTTTCAAACACCTTGTTGATGAAATGGGAACCTCCATCTGAAATAACAACCCTTGGGATGCCGAACCTTGGAAAGATGATGGTTCTGAAAGCTTGACAACCACCTTGGCATCACAGGTTGGGCAGGGAATGGCTTCAATCCATTTGGATACATAGTCTACAGCAACCAAAATGTAGTTGTGCCCGTTTGAAGAAGGTTTGAAAGGTCCCATGAAGTCTATTCCCCATACATCAAAAATCTCAACTCTAGAATTGGGTTTAGTGGCATCTCGTCCCTCTTGGTGATCCCTCCTTTCCTTTGGCACGGATCACACTTGGCAATGTAGTCTGCTGCATCCTTAAACAAAGTAGGCCACCATAAACCAGATTGCAAAACCTTAGTTGCTGTTTTGAATGTAGCAAAGTGACCTCCGTAAGCTGACCCATGGCAATGCTCTAGAACTCCTTGCACATCCTCTTCAGCTATGCATCTCCTGTAAATGCTGTCTGGTCCTCTCTTGTACAAGTAAGGCTCATCCCAATAGTAATGCCTAGCATCCTTGAAGAATTTCTTCCTTTGTAAGCATCAAAGCTACTAGGGACTTCTCCGGACACCATGAAGTTCACTATATCAGCATACCATGGCAAATTCTCATCACGCAGAGCCTTAACTTCTTCCAGCCTGGCTTTCTCATCAAAACTCTCCTTCAAGATCATGATTGCCATAAGCTGTTCTTCAGGCATAGAATCATTGATGGGGATCATGTCTTCAACTCGCATCCTAGAGAGATGATCAGCAACTCCATTTCTACTCCCTTTTTGTCCACAACTTCTATGTCAAACTCTTGAAGCAAAAGGATCCATCTGAGAAGTCTTGGCTTTGTATCTTTCTTAGCAAGATGTGCCTAAGGGCAGCATGGTCAGTGTGCACAATCACCTTGGATCCAACTATATAGCTTCGAAACTTTCTCAAAGGCAAAGACTATGGCAAGGAGCTCCTTCTCTGTGGTTGCATACTTGCACTGAGCATCATCCATAGTCTTGCTTGCATAGTAGATGACATTGAGTTTCTTGTCTATCTTTTGGCCAAGCACTGCTCCTACTGCATAGTCAGATGCATCACACATAATCTCAAATGGGTGATCCCAGTTTGGAGCTTGAACTATTGGCGCAGATACCAGAGCATCCTTCAGCAAGGTCCAAGACTTGTGGCATTCTTCATCAAACTCAAAATCTGTCTCCTTGCATAGAAGCCTTGTCAAGGGTCTTGCTATCTTTGAGAAATCCTTGATGAATCTTCTGTAGAACCCTGCATGACCCAGAAAACTCCTTATGTCCTTCACAGTCTTGGGAACAGGGAGCTGCAACATGACATCCACCTTAGCTCGATCGAGCTCGATCCCTTTCTCGGAAATCTTGTGTCCAAGCACAATCCCTTCTCGAACCATGAAGTGGCACTTCTCCCAGTTGAGTACTAGATTGGTCTCCTCACACCTCTGCAACACCCTGCACAAGTTAGACAAACATGAGGAGAAGGATGCTCCATAGACTGAGAAATCGTCCATGAAGACTTCTACCATCTCCTCTATCAGATCTGAAAAAATGGAGGTCATGCACCTCTGGAAAGTAGCTGGAGCATTGCACAGCCCAAATGGCATCCTTCGATAAGCAAAGGTGCCATAAGGGCATGTGAAAGTGGTCTTCTCCTGATCATTAGGGTGGATCGGGATTTGGAAGAAACCACTGTAGCCATCAAGAAAACAATAAAAGGGTGGTTTGCCAATCTTTCTAACATCTGATCAATGAAAGGGAGAGGGAAATGATCCTTTCTAGATGCTGAATTTAGCTTCCTATAGTCAATACACATGCGATGCCCCACTATTGTTCTAGTGGGAATCAGCTCCTCTTTGTCGTTTTTAATGACAGTGATCCCCCCTTTCTTTGGGACGCAATGAACTGGAGATATCCAAGTGCTATCACTGATGGGATAGATTATCCCAGCATCAAGCAACTTGAGTATCTCTTTCTTCACTACTTCCTTTAGATTGGGGTTCAACCTTCTTGAGGTTCAATGCTTGACTTACTTTCATCCTCTAGATGAATCCTATGGATGCATAGGTCAGGGGAGATCCCCTTGATATCATCTAGAGTGTAACCTATTGCCTTTCTGTACTTTCTCAATTCAACAAGCAAAGCACTCAACTGTTCAGGTTCCAAATCAGAGTTCACAATGACAGGGTAAGTTGAGTTTTCACCCAGAAATGCATACCTGAGGCCCTCAGGCAAAGGTTTGAGGTCGACTTTAGGCGCCTTAAGCTCAGACCAATCTCCTTGAGCTTGCTCCTTGCTTCAGCCCCAGCTCGATCGAGTTCGTTTGTTCGAAACTCGACTCGATCGAGTTCTTGATCGAGCTCACTGCCATGACTTCGCAAACTGGCCTGTCCAATCCTCAATGCTCAGAATGTTTGGAACTGGTCTGAAGGTGTCAAGGAGCTTCTTGTACTCATCAGTTTCTGAGCTCACATATCCCTCTGAAGAATCCTTGGTCAAAGCAACTTGTAGTGGATCCTCTGTTGATAACTCTTCTAGAAGCTCATCTGCCAACTGATCCATTTCCTCAACATAAAAGAGCTGACCTTCTATAGTTGGTTTCCTCATTGTATCTTGATATCAAACTTCATCTTCAGGTCCTTTCCCAAGTTTAACTCAATTGTTCCTTCACAGACATCTATCATTGCTCTTGCTGTAGCTAGGAATGGCCTTCCTAGAATCAATGGATCTGTTGGTTCCTCATCCATCTCAAGCACAATGAAGTCTGTGGGGATCTCCACATTCCCTATCCTCAAAGGCAGGTCTTCAAGCATCCCAGTTGGTAACCTTATCGATCTATCTGCCAAGACTAGTGAGATTCCGCAGGCTTGGTACTTGTGATATCCCAGTCTCTTTGCTACAGACAAAGGCATGAGGCTGACAGATGATCCTAGATCGCAGAGACTGTTTTTGAAAGATAGGGGTCCTAACATGCAGGGCAAAGTGAAACTCCCCGGATCTTCCTTTTTGTCGGAGATGACCTTCCGCTGAATGATTGCACTGCACTCGCGAGTCAACACTACCATCCCTTGTGCTTCCCTGGTTCTTTGCTGAACAGCATCCTTCAGAAATTTCTGATAAGGTGGAATGAGCATCAAGGCATCGATGAAGGGCAACTTCAGCTCAAGCTGTCTCATTAGTTCATCAAACTTGGCCTTGTGTGCTTCCAACAGTTGTTTCTTGAACCTTCCTGGAAAGGGCAGAGGGGGCTTGTATGGTGGTGGTCCTGCTGGAGTGTCTTTCTTCTTTGCAACAGGTTTAGCTGGTTGGCTGGAGTTTGCTTTGTCTGTCTCTTCTGGCTCGATCGAGCTCTGGTTTGTCTTGCAGTGTCTCAGTTTCTCCAGCTCGATCGAGTTCTGGTTCAGGGTTTTGTTCCAGCTCGATCGAGTTCGGGTCGAGTTATCAGCATAGTCGACTAAATCCTCCCCTTCCTCGTCATCGATGTCCACAGCGATTTGGGGTGGGCTACCTCTACTCGGGAATTGCTCCACTTCTTAGTGTAACTGCTTGGGCATACTCTTGTGGTGAAGAGGATGATGCACTTGAAGACTCAATGATTTGGACTCTTGAAGTCAATGACTCTAGTTTAGAGTGTATCTCAACCAGCTTGTTGTTCATTTCCAGAGAACCTTTGGCTTGCCCTTGTAAAAGTTGTTGGAGCATTTCCTTCATATCCCAATCTTGAGTTGGTTGGGTATGAGTAGTCCTTGTGTTGAAGCCTTGTGGAACACTTTGTTGTAGGTGCGGCCAGGGGGCTTGATAATTGTTGTATCGCCCTTGTTGAGGATTCCTATAGCTTCCTTGTCTATTTTGAATGTAGCAAACTTCTTGTGTTGTCTCCTCCCCTTCCTGGTCCTTGACTAGGTTTGTTCTGAGACATAGTTGACATGCTTGGCAGGGAATTGGGCTAGGATCAGTTTGTCCAACTTCGAGTTGAGTGCAAGCATGTCTTTTCTCATCTGAGCGTCCAGCTCGATCGAGTGCGCGGTCGAGCTCCAGTCTGTACTTTCATATGCTCTCCATAGCATTCTGTTGATATGGCCATGTTCTCCACAAGTTGCCAGCCATCATCTACATCCTGGTTGAGGAAGTTCCCATTGCTAGCTGTGTCTAGCATCTCCCTATACCTAGGCAAGCATCCTCTATAAAGAGTGGAGAGTAGTGATTCATTGTTGAATCCATGGTGTGGGCACTGACTTGTGTAGCCTTTGAACCTCTCCCAAGCCTCTGCGAATGTCTCATTGTTTCGCTGGATGAAGCTGGATATCTCTCCTCTAAGCTTGGCTGTGCGACCGGTGGAGAAAAACTTAGCAAGAAAGGCCTTCTTGCATTCATCCCAAGTGGTGATTGTGCCATGGGGCAAGCTCTTCTCCCATTGGTGAGCTTTGTCAGCTAGAGACATAGGAAAGAGTCTCAGCTTGATGGCATCTTCAGAGACACCATTGATCTTTGTCAAATCACAAAGCCTATCAAACTCATCAAGGTGGTCAATGGGGTCTTCACTTGGCAATCCATGGAACATCTTGTTCTGGACAAGGTTGATCATTCCCAGCTTGATCTCAAAGTTGTGGTTCTGCACTGGTGGTGGAACAATCCCTTGTCTCTGTTGGTGGCGGTTTGGAGCATCTCCTTGACCAATCGGTCGAGTTTGCCTAGCTCGACCGAGTCCATTCCCAAAGGGTTTCCATTCCCCTCTGGTACATCCATTGTATCAGCAACAAGCACCTCAGGTTCCTCTTGTACCCTCTGTGACCTCTGAACCCTCTTTCTACCCGTTGTAAGTCTAGCTCGACCAAGTCTTCAGTTGACCGACTCGATCGAGTTCGCATACACCTGCAAAAAGAGACAAAAACCCAGCAGTACAATAGAACAGGGGTGGTATAGCTTGATCGTCCAAGTGTGTTTGAAACTCAAATGCAACAAAAATATTCCCAAATCGGCAACGGCGCCAAATTGATGATAGGATTTTGTGTGGTGTGTGATATGAAATGAGGTGGAATGCAAACAGTGGTAATAAAGATGATGGTAAGGTGCAAACACAATCAATCAATTCCTCTTAACCATCATAGTCATGTAGTATAAGAGGTTATCAATCCAAAATGGGAAACTTGTCACTCTTGAGAATATGAAACAACCAGGAAGTCAAGCAAGCAGTAATAGATTTGAAGTAACACTAACAACCTAAAAATGAAATGCAGTGCAATAAAAGTAAACAAAGCAGTAAACAAGCAGCTCGACCAAGGACTCGAGTCGAGTAGGAACAGAGTACCAGCTCGATCGAGTTTAGGGTCGAGTTGAGACAAAAAAGCTAAAGGTGACGACTTTAACAAGATAAGAGAGAATTAGGGTTCAAGACAGGGTTTTGCAATCAAAGGAATCTACACTTAATCAATCTAGCTCTTAAAACTCCTTGTATCAAGGCTTCTCTTGATATTGGGCTTCTCAATGCCTAGCCAACCCTTTCCCAAGGTGAAGGCTATCAACCAAGGAATGATCTCAGAAACAGGGGGTTAGCCAGTGAGAATCAAACCTTGGAGGCTATAGGATCATTGCCCAAACTAATCCATCCAACCCCTTAGACCTCTATTGTCTAGAGCAAGAGATATTGGAGCTCTTAGTGGATCTTTTCCAGCGAATGCCATCACTTTCGTGTGGGGAGTCGCCTAAGGACTTACAAGCCAGGGGTAGTGGTCATGTAGCCTTAAGATCTATCCAAAAGAGAGAGAATCTAGATTAAGACCATAAGCTAGAAGGATTAAGCATATGAAACCTCTAATCTATCCCATCTCAAACCCTAATGGGTAACTACTCACTACACATGAATGTAAACACAAGCAAATGCAATAAAAGAGACATCATAAGAAAGAGGAGATGAAATTAAACAACTTTTATTGAAATAAGCAAGTGCAAATACAAAGAGATTAATCCAGGATCTAAGATTCAAGAAGCAAGAGCTTCAAGAACACAAAGATGGGATTAGATCTAAAAAGTAAAAGACAATAAATTAAAAGAAACTAAAACAAAATAATCTAAAGCTTGGTGGTTTTTTCGTGGCTTAGCCTTTAAATACAAAGAGGATTAGGTTTAGGGTCAAAGGAAAGTCAAGGGGGAAGCAACATTTTTCGGGTTTGACTTTGACTTCCAGCTCGATCGAGTTGAAGCTTGGCCGGTCGAGTTGAGGAACTCGACCGGTTGGTCGAGTAGACGGTCGAGCTGGTCTTCAAGATGGCTTCTCCCTTCTTCCTTTGCGTGTCCAGTTGAGCTGCTTCCATGTGCCAAGTCCCTCCATGCTCCTTGTATATGCTCCAGAATGCTCCAAAAGACCTATTTCAAAGGACCAAACATGCATATGTATGCAAATGCAACCTAAAACTAACATGAATGCATAAGAAGAGAAAAGGAACAAGATATGATGCAAATGGATGCTAAAACTATGCAAAAGATGCATAAAAGATGTGCTAAAACTATGTAAAATGCAAGTACATCACCCCCACTTTCTGAATTTGATCAGAAAAACCCTAGCTTCTTGTCCCCCTCTTATTTCACCTTTTAATCCCAACCACACATCTCAAAACAACCCTCTTCCCCATAACTCGATCGAATCCACCTTCCCCACTCTCCCGCACTTTAAAGTTTCTGAAACCTATCTCTCTCTCTCATCTCCACAAGAAACTTTCGAATTTTCACCCTTTCTCTCTTAAAAGTCTTTGCGATTTCTTCTTGTTCTTCATTGTTGTGTTCAGGTTTTTAGTTTGCTGTTCTTAATTTCATCATTCAACAAGGTATGAACCCTTAAACCCCTGATTCTTCCATTACGATTTCCATTATTGCTTGTTTCCTCTTTGAATTTTGTTTGCATGCATCCCTTATGGGATTATCCTTGAGTAATTGCTTTAATATCACCTCTCCTGCTTCATTTTTGTTTATACCATTGTGAATTTTCCTCTGTTTTTTTTTCATTAGAACTTGTTGCATGTGCTTGAAAGATTGAATTTGAGTTTGGTAATGGTTAGGTTGCTATGATTTTCACTAGAATTGCTTATTGTTCCATTTACTAGTTGTTCTTGGTTCAATTTGTTTGTTTAGCATCCTTTCCAGCTCTTAATATTTGCATTAGGTTCGGTCATACTCTGTTTTCACCTAGCTCGATCGAGTTTGTCACTCGAGTTTTTTGACTCGATCGAGCTGGGGGTCGAGTTGACAAAACCGATCATTACAACTCTAATTCTTTGTATTCTTTGATTCATTTCAGGTACTTTAGTGAAGAAACAGTGTAACAGAGATGGCAAACAGTTAGGGAAGTTGTGCTTCACAAAGGAGGATGGTTGAGGGTGAATCAAGCAATGCAAGGGAAAGAAGGCTTAAGATGCAAGCCGATTTGGAGAGGATGAATCAAAGGATGGAAGAATCTGATGCAGAGGGGTATGTGTACTCTGAGGAAGAATCTGAGAATGAGAGATTGATAGAGGAGAGGAGGACCAAAAAGAGGAATGACCCCATTAGTAGTGAGAGTGAACAAGGGGAGTTTGAGATTGGAGTGAACCTTGTTCAAGAGGAGGGAAATGGTTCAAGGGGACTGTGTGATTTAAGTTTGGGGGAGGGTTCAAGAGATGATTTAACCTTGTTTTCTTTGTTCTTAGTTTTTCATCATCTTTTGCATAGAAAAACCAAAAAAATCATAAAATTTTCAAAAAATCCAAAAATATTTTCATCTTTTTGCATTCATATTTGTTAGACTTGTTTAGGATTGCATCTTTCACTTGCATTGTTGATTTGACTTTGAAAACTTGTTCATCTTTTGCGATTTCTTGAGTGCCCTGTTTTTAGATTCTTTTGTGCATTAGGGTGAGATTGATTGAGCAGCAAGAACCATGTTTATCTTGATCATATCACTGCATGCACATCTCATTCAACCATTGCTGTGATTTGATGCATTTCCCTATCTATTTGAACCATAACTTGATCTTTAATTACCAATGCTTGCATTTGATTTCAACTCATGGCTACCACATACATATCTGGACATTCTTTACCATTTTCATATCCCTCTTGCTTGTCCAGATAGCTGATCTCCATCTTTGAGACAGTTACCACACCTTAAACCTAAGCCTTTTCATTTCAAACCCCATATTATCTCTTGTGCGAATTGTGAGAACCTTTCTTGGCTTTGCTTAGCATAAGGTGTTGTGTTTAAACCGGCAGGGGCAGTAGTTCTAGTTGTCTAGTTCTCTTGGGATTGTTTTCAGGCTAAGTTTGGGGGTGCCAACTCGAGCTCGATCGAGTTGGGTGTAAAAACCAGAAAAGTGGTAAAAATTGGGAAAACCAAAGGAAAAAGAGTTTAGTTAAGTCCAGGGAGTTGGCAGTGTTAAAAAGGGTCTAGTAAAGGTTTGGGAAGTTAAAAAAGAAAAAAAGGGTTCTAAGTAGAATGAAAAGAAGGCAAAGCCTCAAGTGTCAAAAAGAAAGAAAAGTTCCCTAAGTGTTTAGAAAATCCCAAACCGCTAGATGTTACCTCAAGAAGCCTCTCCCTAGGAAGTTCTTAAAAGAAAAGTGAGCAAAGCTCCTCAGTTTCAAAGGCGAAATGCCAAAAAGGGTAGTTAGGATTTTGTTCTAAAAAGCTCTAAGTGTTGAACTCGATCGAGTTAGGATTAGGCGGCTCGAGCTGCTGTTCTTGCATCATCTTTGGTTCTAACACTTAGCCTTCTGCCAAAGCAAAGCCACTTTCTTGAGAGATCCCTGTTACTAAACCACCATACAAAAGAGACCCTCTTTGTCTCTTAACCCATAAACCCTTGAAACCAAATGAGTTGATTGATCTTGCATGTTTTTGGTTCACTGTTTTTGCTTAATGAATGTTAAAGGGATTTGCTGATTTGAATGCATTGTTTGAGTGACTGTGAAGTGGGATTGATGTTGATAAGCATGGTTAAATCTTAATGAATATCTCTCACCTTGTTGCATTCTAGAATCTCTAAGTTGGACATTTAGCAAATCGCTTTTGAGGACATGTTTTTAAGTGTTGAATCAACTTGTTTTCAAACCTCATCTCTTTCTTGTTCTATTTGTTTGCTTGAGGGCAAGCAAAGTTCAAGTTTGGGGGTGTTGATGTACTTGCATTTTACATAGTTTTAGCACATCTTTTATGCATCTTTTGCATAGTTTTAGCATCCATTTGCATCATATCTTGTTCCTTTTCTCTTCTTATGCATTCATAGTAGTTTTAGGTTGCATTTGCATACATATGCATGTTTGGTCCTTTGAAATAGGTCTTTTGGAGCATTCTGGAGCATATGGGACATAAGGAGCATGGAGGGACTTGGCACATGGAAGCAGCTCAACTGGATACGCAAAGGAAGAAGGGAGAAGCCATCTTGAAGACCAGCTCGACTCGACCATCTACTCGACCGGCCAAGCTTCAACTCGATCGAGCTTCAAAGTCAAACCCGAAAAATGTTGCACTTGACCCTAAACCTTGTATTTAAAGGCTCTAAGCCACGAAAAAACCACCAAGCTTTAGATTATTTTGTTTTAGTTTCTTTTAATTTATTGTCTTTTACTTTTGAGAGCTCTAATCCCATCTTTGTGTTCTTGAAGCTCTTGCTTCTTGAATCCTAGATCCTGGATAATCTCTTTGTATTTGCACTTGCTTATTTCAATAAAAGTTGTTTAATTTCATCTCCTCTTTCTTATGATGTCTCTTTTATTGCATTTGCTTGTGTTTACATTCATGTGTAGTGAGTAGTTACCCATTAGGGTTTGAGATGGGATAGATTAGAGGTTTCATATGCTTAATCCTTCTAGCTTATGGTCTTAATCTAGATTCTCTCTCTTTTGGATAGATCTTAAGGCTACATGACCACTACCCCTGGCTTGTAAGTCCTTAGGCGATTCCCCACACGAAAGTGATGGCATTCGCTGGAAAAGATCCACTAAGAGCTCCAATATCTCTTGCTCTAGACAATAGAGGTCTAAGGGGTTGGATGGATTAGTTTGAATGATCCTATGAAGGTTCTCACTGGCTAACCCCCTGTTTCTGAGATCATTCCTTGGTTGATAGCCTTCACCTTGGGAAAGGGTTGGCTAGGCATTGAGAAGCCCAATATCAAGAGAAGCCTTGATACAAGGAGTTTTAAGAGCTAGATTGATTAAGTGTAGATTCCTTTGATTGCAAAACCCTGTCTTGAACCCTAATTCTCTCTTAGCTTGTTAAAGTCGTGCCTTTATTGCTTTTTACTTCAACTCGATCGAGCTGGTACTCTGTTCCTACTCGACTCGAGTCTTGGTCGAGCTGCTTGTTTACTGCTTTGTTTACTTTTATTGCACTGCATTTCATTTTCTTAGGTTGTTAGTGTTACCAAATCTATTACTGCTTGCTTGACTTTCTGTTGTTTCATATTCTCATAGAGTGACAAGTTTCCCATTTTGGATTGATAACCCTTTGTACTACAACAACTATCATGGTTAAAGGGAATTGTTGACTGTGTTTGTGTTTGCATTTACCACTCATCTTATACCACTGATTGCATTCCACACATCTCATTTCATATCTTTTCACATCACACACAAATCCTATCATCACATTTCCATATGAATGTCTCACTACATTCATATGGACCTGGCCCCGCTTATGGTTACACCATAAGTGCCCGTACTAGCATATGGGCTACACCCTAATATACTTGTACCCCCGGTTCTGAGGCAGAGCTCTCCCTTACGTGAAAGATTACTCGCAAGCAGAGCTTTCCCCGCGTGAAAGATTACCAACTAGAACCTCCACAAAATAGATCTGATGGCATAGCCATCCAGATCCTCACCACACCGGAGCCATACTCAACACATGGGCCTTTAAGCACCACCATGTTAGTATGCACTCGAGGTTTAGCGGCATAGCCGTGCTTTAACCTCACAACCGATGCATCTCTATGCACCTACATCACATGAGATCTGGTGGCATAACCTTCCCCGAAGGTTACCCAACACAACCTCACACAACTAAAGAGATTTGGCGGCATAACCTTCCCCGAAGGTTACCCGACACAACCTCACAACACAAGAGATCTGACGGCATAACTTCTCTCCCTAGAAGATTACCCGCCACAATCTCACAACAATGCAAACCTGCATAAACACCTAAGAGATTTGACGGCATAACTTCTCTCTTTAGAAGATTACCCATCACAACCTCACACCACAACACATAAATTTCTGCAGCATAACTCTCCACGATATTCACTAAACCTTATTTTTTAGAGAGTTATACTACAGAACCAACAACCAATATGAACATAAAGCATCTCCTATGCTTTGGTGTTCATACAACCTGCATACACAAGCATAGATCCAAAACAACAAAACTATAACACCAAGACTCACCACTTTAAGAAGACTTCAAGATCCTCCTAGCTTTCCTTAAGCTTTGATCTTGACTTACTCTAATCTTCCACTAACCTCACTTAATTAAGAAAACTTTCTTAATTAACTCTCTAATCACTTTTCAGGTGCTCTCTAGCTTTGGGAATGGAATGGTTTGAACTTGGGGTGGAGGAGCGTATTTATAGGAGTTCAGGAGGCTGCCTGTATTCTTGGGACGTCCCCAGTCGTTCATAGACACATGGAGACCTAGGCCTAGCATAGCTTTGCTTGGTGGCAACCTACACTGCCTCAGAATGCGACATGCAGGTGATCTAGGCTAGGTAGCTTTGATTGGTGGCCTCTAGGGCGTCTCAGGACATGACACACGTCATTCCTATCCCCTCTCAATGCTCATCCAATAGGCCGACTTCCCCAAGCATGTGGTGTGGTCGTGCTATTGGATATAACCCATCTTATCCATTAAGATGCTGGGTGCTTCTGTCTGATTAGTCAGCTCTTGATCCAATCCATTTCTAAATCTCTCCAATTGCTTTTCATCCACTCCTGAAGCTTCTCCTCTCTCTCAGTAGTTGGTGTTGCATCCTGATTCGTCCAAGTCAATTTCGTCTCCATTTATCACCTCAATGTCTCCGTCTGATTGGTTTGGACGATTCTTGTCTCTCATGAGCAGCTGAGTGTCTCTCCCTGATAGAATTAGGTCTTCTTGGAGCTTATCCACGCCCTCTCACCTCCTTAGCAGCTGGTGTCGTTGCCCAATTGGTTTAAACTTGCTTCGTCTTCACTTGGTAGCTCGATGTTGCTACATGATTGGCATGTACGGTTTTGGCTCCATTGTAGTAGCTGCATGTCTTCTCCATATTGATTATAATCATCCTTATCTTCTCCAAGTAGTTGGTGTCACCACTTGATTGGCTTAGAACAAGATTACTCCAAATGTACATTTCCTCATCCAGAGGGTTTCGTACGTTTCCCTGTCCGGAGGGTTTCGTCCACGTCATGTTTGAGAATTAAAATCTCCTATTTTAATCCTTTCCTCATTTCCATGTTTCTAAGCTTTCACATAGTTGCTTGGAAATGTGCGGAATACCTCAATCCCAAACATTTACATTTCTTGTAGTCGTTGCGGGATAGATCTTGGGCGTCCATCCAATCTGCTCGTCCGATTTGCATTCTGCTTCGACCAAACTCCTTACAATGGTCTCTTATGTCGTCCAGACTCTTCTCTTCTTGATTTGGAGAACTTTGATATTTAGCCGTCCGGTCGGCTCTCCCACGTTCGCACAATGATCGTCCCACCTGGAGAATCTTGCTGTATCTTCAGTTTTGCTCGATCGTTCTTGATCCTGTCTTGACCCAAGTCTTCGTTTTGACCTCTAGAGTGAATCCCACTCCTTTGTCTTCCAATCCCAGAGCCTTGAGCTTTCCATCCCGGCCTTTGGGATGTTTTAGGCCTTGATACGGGGTATCACATTCTCTCCCCCTTAATAGAATTCGTCCTCGAATTCTAGCTACAAGAACGTTCCATTGTTCCCTGATTTCTCCCCATCTTTGTAGATGTCTTGCCTCCTCTTACTCTGTCTTCACATTGTCCCCTTGCAGACTCTTCTTCCACTTATCTCCTCTGATCCTCCCTGCTCAAATCTCCATTCCCCTAACCATCAATCCCGGCTTTAACTCTGGGTTATCTAATGTCAAAACCGTACCTTAACCAACACTTCCTTGTTGGTCTTGATCCCGGTCTGACCACTCTAGCGAGGTTCTCCTAACTTCGCTAACCACCTAACCTCTTACTCAAGGATTTTCCGTGCTAGCTTTATTTCCCTCTTGGAAACAGCATTCACGGAATTTCCTTCTATTAACACAATCGTCCCTTTCAGGGTCCCACTCGATGTGCTAATACCCAAAACTACTTTACCAGAACCACCTTGGTTCCAAGGATACCCGCTCTAGTTTCATTTCCCACTGGAAATAGAAACATCGGAATCTCCTTCCACCACATCGTTTCCCAAAACATGGGTTTCCTAAACGATGTCTCTACCAAACTCAACTTAAACCACCAAACAATCCTACTTACTACACCAAGTAAGCAAGAAAAGAAACCATTCAAAGATTGAGTTAGAACCCAAAAATACCTCTTCTCGGCATGTGGTTTAGGTTCTTAGACTCTATCTTACATTCTACGGCTTCCACTCCCTGGTCGCGTCTCTCTCCTTGTGGTTGAGCGGGTGGGTTGACTAGTACTGGGGCAGTTCCTTGGACAGTCTGCTGAGAAATGGCCTTTCTCTCCACAAGTAAGGCAAATGTTCTGCCTTTCATTCATCCTTGATCTAGCTCGCACATTGGGACATGCTCTGCTATGATGTCCCGTCCTTTCACATTGATCGCATGGTAGCGTGACTTGAGACGGTGCTGGGACTCTCATCCTTGCGAGTCTTCTGGGAGGCTTTCCCCTTTGGCTTGACACCATTTGCTCTAGAACATTACCCTCTGTTCTAAGATTCTCCAATTCTGTGGCGATTATCTCATCCCACCTTCTTGCTAAGTTAAGACCTTCATCATCTTGTGGCCATTCATTCTCTCCGGTACCTTCCTCCGTGGCTTGGTTAAGATCCGGTATTTGATATTCATTGCCTGCAACCGAGTTTGGTGTAGTCTCGCTGATGTACTTGCATTTTACATAGTTTTAGCACATCTTTTATGCATCTTTTGCATAGTTTTAGCTTCCATTTGCATCATATCTTGTTCCTTTTCTCTTCTTATGCATTCATGTTAGTTTTAGGTTGCATTTGCATACATATGCATGTTTGGTCCTTTGAAATAGGTCTTTTGGAGCATTCTGGAGCATATGGGACATAAGGAGCATGGAGGGACTTGGCACATGGAAGCAGCTCAACTGGATACGCAAAGGAAGAAGGGAGAAGCCATCTTGAAGACCAGCTCGACCGTCTACTCGACCAACCGGTCGAGTTCCTCAACTCGACCGGCCAAGCTTCAACTCGATCGAGCTGGAAGTCAAAGTCAAACCCGAAAAATGTTGCTTCCCCCTTGACTTTCCTTTGACCCTAAACCTAATCCTCTTTGTATTTAAAGGCTCTAAGCCACGAAAAAACCACCAAGCTTTAGATTATTTTGTTTTAGTTTCTTTTAATTTATTGTCTTTACTTTTTAGAACTAATCCCATCTTTGTGTTCTTGAAGCTCTTGCTTCTTGAATCTTAGATCCTGGATTAATCTTCTTTGTATTTGCACTTGCTTATTTCAATAAAAGTTGTTTAATTTCATCTCCTCTTTCTTATGATGTCTCTTTTATTGCATTTGCTTGTGTTTACATTCATGTGTAGTGAGTAGTTACCCATTAGGGTTTGAGATGGGATAGATTAGAGGTTTCATATGCTTAATCCTTCTAGCTTATGGTCTTAATCTAGATTCTCTCTCTTTTGGATAGATCTTAAGGCTACATGACCACTACCCCTGGCTTGTAAGTCCTTAGGCGACTCCCCACACGAAAGTGATGGCATTCGCTGGAAAAGATCCACTAAGAGCTCCAATATCTCTTGCTCTAGACAATAGAGGTCTAAGGGGTTGGATGGATTAGTTTGGGCAATGATCCTATAGCCTCCAAGGTTTGATTCTCACTGGCTAACCCCCTGTTTCTGAGATCATTCCTTGGTTGATAGCCTCACCTTGGGAAAGGGTTGGCTAGGCATTGAGAAGCCCAATATCAAGAGAAGCCTTGATACAAGGAGTTTTAAGAGCTAGATTGATTAAGTGTAGATTCCTTTGATTGCAAAACCCTGTCTTGAACCCTAATTCTCTCTTTATCTTGTTAAAGTCGTCACCTTTAGCTTTGTTTGTCTCAACTCGTCCCTAAACTCGATCGAGCTGGTACTTTGTCTACTCGACTCGAGCTCTTGGTCGAGCTGACACTTCACTGCTTTGTTTACTTTTATTGCACTGCATTTTCATTATTTAGGTTGTTAGTGTTACTTCAAATCTATAACTGCTTGCTTGACTTTCCTGGTTGTTTCATATTCTCATAGAGTGACAAGTTTCCCATTTTGGATTGATAACCCTTTGTACTACAACTATCATGGTTAAAGGGAATTGTTGACTGTGTTTGTGTTTGCATCTTACCACCATCATTACCACTGTTGCATTCCACTCATCTCATTTCATTTCATATCTTCACACACACACAAATCCTATCATCAATTTGGCGCCGTTGCCGATTTGGGAATATTTTTGTTGCATTTGAGTTTCAAACACACTTGGACGATCAAGCTATACCACCCCTGTTCTATTGTACTGCTGGGTTTTTGTCTCTTTTTGCAGGTGTATGCGAACTCGATCGAGTCGGTCAAGAAGACTTGGTCGAGCTAGACTTACAACGGGTAGAAAGAGGGTTCAGAGGTCACAGAGGGTACAAGAGGAACCTGAGGTGCTTGTTGCTGATACAATGGATGTACCAGAGGGGAATGGAAACCCTTTGGGCATGGACTCGGTCGAGCTAGGCAAACTCGACCGATTGGTCAAGGAGATGCTCCAAACCGCCACCAACAGAGACAAGGGATTGTTCCACCACCAGTGCAGAACCACAACTTTGAGATCAAGCTGGGAATGATCAACCTTGTCCAGAACAAGATGTTCCATGGATTGCCAAGTGAAGACCCCATTGACCACCTTGATGAGTTTGATAGGCTTTGTGATTTGACAAAGATCAATGGTGTCTCTGAAGATGCCATCAAGCTGAGACTCTTTCCTATGTCTCTAGCTGACAAAGCTCACCAATGGGAGAAGAGCTTGCCCCATGGCACAATCACCACTTGGGATGAATGCAAGAAGGCCTTTCTTGCTAAGTTTTTCTCCACCGGTCGCACAGCCAAGCTTAGAGGAGAGATATCCAGCTTCATCCAGCGAAACAATGAGACATTCGCAGAGGCTTGGGAGAGGTTCAAAGGCTACACAAGTCAGTGCCCACACCATGGATTCAACAATGAATCACTACTCTCCACTCTTTATAGAGGATGCTTGCCTAGGTATAGGGAGATGCTAGACACAGCTAGCAATGGGAACTTCCTCAACCAGGATGTAGATGATGGCTGGCAACTTGTGGAGAACATGGCCATATCAACAGAATGCTATGGAGAGCACTATGAAAGTACAGATGGAGCTCGACCGCACTCGATCGAGCTGGACGCTCAGATGAGAAAAGACATGCTTGCACTCAACTCGAAGTTGGACAAACTGATCCTAGCCCAATTCCCTGCCAAGCATGTCAACTATGTCTCAGAACAAACCTTAGTCAAGGACCAGGAAGGGGAGGAGACAACACAAGAAGTTTGCTACATTCAAAATAGACAAGGAAGCTATAGGAATCCTCAACAAGGGCGATACAACAATTATCAAGCCCCCTGGCCGCACCACAACAAAGTTCCACAAGGCTTCAACACAAGGACTACTCATACCCAACCAACTCATGATTGGGATATGAAGGAAATGCTCCAACAACTTTTACAAGGGCAAGCCAAAGGTTCTCTGGAAATGAACAACAAGCTGGTTGAGATACACTCTAAACTAGAGTCATTGACTTCAAGAGTCCAAATCATTGAGTCTTCAAGTGCATCATCCTCTTCACCACAAGAGTATGCCCAAGCAGTTACACTAAGAAGTGGGCAATTCCCAGTAGAGGTAGCCCACCCCAAATCGCTGTGGACATCGATGACGAGGAAGGGGAGGATTTAGTCGACTATGCTGATAACTCGACCCGAACTCGATCGAGCTGGAACAAAACCCTGAACCAGAACTCGATCGAGCTGAAGAAACTGAGACACTGCAAGACAAACCAGAGCTCGATCGAGCCAGAAGAGAGCAGACAAAGCAAACTCCAGCCAACCAGCTAAACCTGTTGCAAAGAAGAAAGACACTCCAGCAGGACCACCACCATACAAGCCCCCTCTGCCCTTTCCAGGAAGGTTCAAGAAACAACTGTTGGAAGCACACAAGGCCAAGTTTGATGAACTAATGAGACAGCTTGAGTTGAAGTTGCCCTTCATCGACGCCTTGATGCTCATTCCACCTTATCAGAAATTTCTGAAGGATGCTGTTCAGCAAAGAACCAGGGAAGCACAAGGGATGGTAGTGTTGACTCGCGAGTGCAGTGCAATCATTCAGCGGAAGGTCATCTCCGACAAAAAGGAAGATCCGGGGAGTTTCACTTTGCCCTGCATGTTGGACCCCTATCTTTCAAAAACAGTCTCTGCGATCTAGGATCATCTGTCAGCCTCATGCCTTTGTCTGTAGCAAAGAGACTGGGATATCACAAGTACCAAGCCTGCGGAATCTCACTAGTCTTGGCAGATAGATCGATAAGGTTACCAACTGGGATGCTTGAAGACCTGCCTTTGAGGATAGGGAATGTGGAGAATCCCCACAGACTTCATTGTGCTTGAGATGGATGAGGAACCAACAGATCCATTGATTCTAGGAAGGCCATTCCTAGCTACAGCAAGAGCAATGATAGATGTCTGTGAAGGAACAATTGAGTTAAACTTGGGAAAGGACCTAAGATGAAGTTTGATATCAAGATACAATGAGGAAACCAACTATAGAAGGTCAGCTCTTTTATGTTGAGGAAATGGATCAGTTGGCAGATGAGCTTCTAGAAGAGTTATCAACAGAGGATCCCTACAAGTTGCTTTGACCAAGGATTCTTCAGAGGGATATGTGAGCTCAGAAACTGATGAGTACAAGAAGCTCCTTGACACCTTCAGACCAGTTCCAAACATTCTGAGCATTGAGGATTGGACAGGCCAGTTTGCGAAGTCATGGCAGTGAGCTCGATCAAGAACTCGATCGAGTCGAGTTTCGAACAAACGAACTCGATCGAGCTGGGGACTGAGAGCAAGGAGCAAGCTCAAGGAGATTGGTCTGAGCTTAAGGCGCCTAAAGTCGACCTCAAACCTTTGCCTGAGGGCCTCAGGTATGCATTTCTGGGTGAAAACTCAACTTACCCTGTCATTGTGAACTCTGATTTGGAACCTGAACAGTTGAGTGCTTTGCTTGTTGAATTGAGAAAGTACAGAAAGGCAATAGGTTACACTCTAGATGATATCAAGGGGATCTCCCCTGACCTATGCATCCATAGGATTCATCTAGAGGATGAAAGTAAGTCAAGCATTGAACCTCAAGAAGGTTGAACCCCAATCTAAAGGAAGTAGTGAAGAAAGAGATACTCAAGTTGCTTGATGCTGGGATAATCTATCCCATCAGTGATAGCACTTGGATATCTCCAGTTCATTGCGTCCCAAAGAAAGGGGGGATCACTGTCATTAAAAACGACAAAGAGGAGCTGATTCCCACTAGAACAATAGTGGGGCATCGCATGTGTATTGACTATAGGAAGCTAAATTCAGCATCTAGAAAGGATCATTTCCCTCTCCCTTTCATTGATCAGATGTTAGAAAGATTGGCAAACCACCCTTTTTATTGTTTTCTTGATGGCTACAGTGGTTTCTTCCAAATCCCGATCCACCCTAATGATCAGGAGAAGACCACTTTCACATGCCCTTATGGCACCTTTGCTTATCGAAGGATGCCATTTGGGCTGTGCAATGCTCCAGCTACTTTCCAGAGGTGCATGACCTCCATTTTTTCAGATCTGATAGAGGAGATGGTAGAAGTCTTCATGGACGATTTCTCAGTCTATGGAGCATCCTTCTCCTCATGTTTGTCTAACTTGTGCAGGGTGTTGCAGAGGTGTGAGGAGACCAATCTAGTACTCAACTGGGAGAAGTGCCACTTCATGGTTCGAGAAGGGATTGTGCTTGGACACAAGATTTCCGAGAAAGGGATCGAGCTCGATCGAGCTAAGGTGGATGTCATGTTGCAGCTCCCTGTTCCCAAGACTGTGAAGGACATAAGGAGTTTTCTGGGTCATGCAGGGTTCTACAGAAGATTCATCAAGGATTTCTCAAAGATAGCAAGACCCTTGACAAGGCTTCTGTGCAAGGAGACAGATTTTGAGTTTGATGAAGAATGCCACAAGTCTTGGACCTTGCTGAAGGATGCTCTGGTGTCTGCGCCAATAGTACAAGCTCCAAACTGGGATCACCCATTTGAGATTATGTGTGATGCATCTGACTATGCAGTAGGAGCAGTGCTTGGCCAAAAGATAGACAAGAAACTCAATGTCATCTACTATGCAAGCAAGACTATGGATGATGCTCAGTGCAAGTATGCAACCACAGAGAAGGAGCTCCTTGCCATAGTCTTTGCCTTTGAGAAATTTCGAAGCTATATAGTTGGATCCAAGGTGATTGTGCACACTGACCATGCTGCCCTTAGGCACATCTTCGCTAAGAAAGATACAAAGCCAAGACTTCTCAGATGGATCCTTTTGCTTCAAGAGTTTGACATAGAAGTTGTGGACAAAAAGGGAGTAGAAAATGGAGTTGCTGATCATCTCTCTAGGATGCGAGTTGAAGACATGATCCCCATCAATGATTCTATGCCTGAAGAACAGCTTATGGCAATCATGATCTTGAAGGAGAGTTTTGATGAGAAAGCCAGGCTGGAAGAAGTTAAGGCTCTGCGTGATGAGAATTTGCCATGGTATGCTGATATAGTGAACTTCATGGTGTCCGGAGAAGTCCCTAGTAGCTTTGATGCTTACAAGAGGAAGAAATTCTTCAAGGATGCTAGGCATTACTATTGGGATGAGCCTTACTTGTACAAGAGAGGACCAGACAGCATTTACAGGAGATGCATAGCTGAAGAGGATGTACAAGGAGTTCTAGAGCATTGCCATGGGTCAGCTTATGGAGGTCACTTTGCTACATTCAAAACAGCAACTAAGGTTTTGCAATCTGGGTTTATGGTGGCCTACTTTGTTTAAGGATGCAGCAGACTACATTGCCAAGTGTGATCCATGCCAAAGGAAAGGAGGGATCACCAAGAGGGACGAGATGCCACTAAACCCAATTCTAGAGGTTGAGATCTTTGATGTATGGGGAATAGACTTCATGGGACCTTTCAAACCTCTTCAAACGGGCACAACTACATTTTGGTTGCTGTAGACTATGTATCCAAATGGATTGAAGCCATTCCCTGCCCAACCTGTGACGCCAAGGTGGTTGTCAAGCTTTTCAGAACCATCATCTTTCCAAGATTCGGCATCCCAAGGGTTGTTATTTCGGATGGAGGCTCCCATTTCATCAACAAGGTGTTTGAAAAGTTGATGAGAAGCCATGGAGTCAAACACAAGGTCGCCACGCCTTATCACCCTCAAACCAGTGGGCAAGTTGAAGTCTCCAACAGACAGATCAAGGCCATATTGGAGAAGACTGTGAGCTTCACTAGGAAAGACTGGGCAGCAAGGCTTGATGAGGCACTTTGGGCTTATAGAACAGCTTACAAAACCCCCATTGGAAGGTCTCCTTTCAATTTGCTGTATGGGAAGGACTGCCACTTACCTGTGGAGGTCGAATATAAGGCTTTATGGGCAGTAAAGATGCTGAACTTTGATATAAAGGCAGCACAAGAAAGGAGGGTAATGAACTTGTTTGAGCTGGAGGAGATAAGAATGAATGCCTATGAGAACTCTAGGATTTACAAGATGAGAACCAAGGCAGCCCACGACAAACTGATTCGCCTTAAGGACTTCAAGGTTGGGGACAGTGTGCTCTTGTATAACTCCAAGCTAAGGTTGTTTCCCGGGAAGCTGAGGTCAAAGTGGGCGGGACCATTCAAGATTCACGAAGTTTACCCTATGGATCCCTCACTTTACTCAATCAAGAGGGGAAGGAATTCACAGTGAATGGGCATAGATGCAAGCCATATCTAGGAATGACCCCCACAGAGGAGATCATCACTCCTCTAAAAGAGACCCTCTTTGTCTCTTAACCCATAAACCCTTGAAACCAAATGAGTTGATTGATCTTGCATGTTTTTGGTTCACTGTTTTTGCTTAATGAATGTTAAAGGGATTTGCTGATTTGAATGCATTGTTTGAGTGACTGTGAAGTGGGATTGATGTTGATAAGCATGGTTAAATCTTAATGAATATCTCTCACCTTGTTGCATTCTAGAATCTCTAAGTTGGACATTTAGCAAATCGCTTTTGAGGACATGTTTTTAAGTGTTGAATCAGCTATTTTCAAACCTCATCTCTTTCTTGTTCTATTTGTTTGCTTGAGGGCAAGCAAAGTTCAAGTTTGGGGGTGTTGATGTACTTGCATTTTACATAGTTTTAGCACATCTTTTATGCATCTTTTGCATAGTTTTAGCTTCCATTTGCATCATATCTTGTTCCTTTTCTCTTCTTATGCATTCATGTTAGTTTTAGGTTGCATTTGCATACATATGCATGTTTGGTCCTTTGAAATAGGTCTTTTGGAGCATTCTGGAGCATATGGGACATAAGGAGCATGGAGGGACTTGGCACATGGAAGCAGCTCAACTGGACACGCAAAGGAAGAAGGGAGAAGCCATCTTGAAGACCAGCTCGACCGTCTACTCGACCAACCGGTCGAGTTCCTCAACTCGACCGGCCAAGCTTCAACTCGATCGAGCTGGGGAGTCAAAGTCAAACCCGAAAAATGTTGCTTCCCCCTTTGTATTTAAAGGCTAAAAGCCACGAAAAAACCACCAAGCTTTAGATTATTTTGTTTTAGCTTTCTTTTAATTTATTGTCTTTACTTTTTAGAACTAATCCCATCTTTGTGTTCTTGAAGCTCTTGCTTCTTGAATCTTAGATCCTGGATTAATCTCTTTGTATTTGCACTTGCTTATTTCAATAAAAGTTGTTTAATTTCATCTCCTCTTTCTTATGATGTCTCTTTTATTGCATTTGCTTGTGTTTACATTCATGTGTAGTGAGTAGTTACCCATTAGGGTTTGAGATGGGATAGATTAGAGGTTTCATATGCTTAATCCTTCTAGCTTATGGTCTTAATCTAGATTCTCTCTCTTTTGGATAGATCTTAAGGCTACATGACCACTACCCCTGGCTTGTAAGTCCTTAGGCGACTCCCCACACGAAGTGATGGCATTCGCTGGAAAAGATCCACTAAGAGCTCCAATATCTCTTGCTCTAGACAATAGAGGTCTAAGGGGTTGGATGGATTAGTTTGGGCAATGATCCTATAGCCTCCAAGGTTTGATTCTCACTGGCTAACCCCCTGTTTCTGAGATCATTCCTTGGTTGATAGCCTCCACCTTGGGAAAGGGTTGGCTAGGCATTGAGAAGCCCAATATCAAGAGAAGCCTTGATACAAGGAGTTTTAAGAGCTAGATTGATTAAGTGTAGATTCCTTTGATTGCAAAACCCTGTCTTGAACCCTAATTCTCTCTTTATCTTGTTAAAGTCGTCACCTTTAGCTTTGTTTGTCTCAACTCGTCCCTAAACTCGATCGAGCTGGTACTTTGCTCTACTCGACTCGAGCTCTTGGTCGAGCTGACACTTCACTGCTTTGTTTACTTTTATTGCACTGCATTTTCATTATTTAGGTTGTTAGTGTTACTTCAAATCTATAACTGCTTGCTTGACTTCCTGGTTGTTTCATATTCTCATAGAGTGACAAGTTTCCCATTTTGGATTGATAACCCTTTGTACTACAACTATCATGGTTAAAGGGAATTGTTGATGTGTTTGTGTTTGCATCTTACCACCATCATTACCACTGATTGCATTCCACTCATCTCATTTCATTTCATATCTTTCACACACACAAAAAAACCCTTTCATCACTCGCCTGAACTGATCTCTATGATCTGAGTAGAAGGCACTACTCTCTCCTCCTCAGGGTAATGTACTGGCCAAGACATGTGTTCGCCATACTCATTCACCATTGTGCTGGGCTGTACGTTGTCTCTCGGCATGAGATATACGTCCTCGTCCCAATCACTGCTGCTATCATGATCTGTTAGTGTCGGCTGTTCCAAGTCCGTCACTACGATCCAGTGCTCCGAATTGCTCGACGGTTCTGAGTTCGACGATCCAGACTCAGCTGTCCATACTTGCCCAGTACTAAACCACGACCCCTCATCATCCACAAACCAGTCACTCATGAGTTCAAGCTATCACCACAAAGCAAACATTAGGGTTCCTATTCAACACAATCTATCCCATGGATGATCCGCATCCATCTATTCTATGGATGATCAACACCCATAGACACCTCAACATGGCTTACCACATTGCACAATGTTACCATAACCTCTATACTGACCATGCAACAATCAAACAAGAACATGCATAATCAATAAGAAATTATAAGTAACATCAAGCAATGCTTAACCACAACCTAAACATTCTACCTATATGCTGCAGACAGACCAGATTACCTAAGGTAGTTTTTGCGACTCCTTTTTGACTCGATAAAACATTTTAAAATCCTTGTTCCCGAGCATGATCATGAACCATGCTCTGATACCACCATTTGTAACACCCCCGAACCGTCCTAGGCACAGACGTTCCGAGAAGCGCCACAAAATGTCGATGTTCGCCGAATAGGCCATCCCAGACTAAGAACAAATCAGAGCCCAGGTCAGCCCGTTCCACGAACTCGACCCTCTTGACCAAAGCCTAAGGCTTGCCAACCCGTACTTCGGTCAGGAGTTGTGTTAGCCCGGACCAAGCTAATATCATTGGAACATAAGGTCTTTACATAAAACTTTCCTTTATTAAAATATCAGAGTGCTTACAAAATCCGACTTAAAAACATGCGGATCGATCCTTAGTTCCAAACAAAACAACAAACAATAATTTTACAAAAACATACCACAAAACTATTCTGGTCGCCGACTGCCTGCAGCGGTCCGCTCTACTTCACACCTCTACGGTCACCTGAAAACATTAAACAAAAGGAATGAGTAATCTAATATTACTCAGTGAGTCTAGGACCTCGATACAAGGGGGACTCCCTAAACTCCAAACACAAATGCCGCGGGCTTGTAATCCCGCCTCCACCTGCATTGAGATTAGTACACCACAACCTGCATAACATATGCAATCACATGCAATATCTATGCACTCCTAGACAAGTATAGCAATACTTGTCTCCTAAACACAAGTACCCCTGTACTTGGCTCCTAAATGCAAGTACTCCAGTACTTGACTCCTCACTACACACACACCACTGCTTCACATGTGAAACCTCTACTGATGTACCAAGGGAACTCATTGCACGCACACGCGAAGCACCGCGCCAGGAAACACACAGTAACCTGACCGGCCCTCACTCATCGACCTAACCTCACTGTTAGTCGGATCATACCGTCGTATGATATTAACTCGGCCCTAGGCTGCAATCCCGTCTCTCCGAGTTCTTCCCACACCGTTGTAATAGGCTGGGGCACCTCCTAACAATCACACATGAAAGGAGTTTGTGCGTGAATGTCTTGAATACACCACCCTAACCACACATGAATGTTTCACTACATTCATGTGCATTTCCATATGATGTCTCACTACATTCATATGGACCTACGCCCTAATATACTTGTACCCCCGGTTCTGAGGCAGAGCTCTCCCTTACGTGAAAGATTACTCGCAAGCAGAGCTTTCCCCGCGTGAAAGATTACTAACCAGAACCTCCACAAAATAGATCTGATGGCATAGCCATCCAGATCCTCACCACACCGGAGCCATACTCAACACCTGGGCCTTTAAGCACCACCATGTTAGTATGCACTCGAGGTTTAGCGGCATATCCGTGCTTTAACCTCACAACCGATGCATCTCTATGATAGCCTTCACCTTGGGAAAGGGTTGGCTAGGCATTGAGAAGCCCAATGTCAAGAGAAGCCTTGATACAAGGAGTTTTAAGAGCTAGATTGATTAAGTGTAGATTCCTTTGATTGCAAAACCCTGTCTTGAACCCTAATTCTCTCTCTAGCTTATTAAAGTCGCTGCCTTTATTGCTTTTTACTTCAACTCGACCCTCAACTCGATCGAGCTTGGCACTCTGTTCCTACTCGACTCGAGTCATTGGTCGAGCCGCTTGTTTACCTGCTTTGTTTACTTTTATTGCACTGCATTTCATTTTCTTAGGTTGCTAGTGTTACCCCATATCTATTATTGCTTGCTTGACTTTCTGGTTGTTTCATATTCTCATAGAGTGACATGTTTTCCCATTTTGGATTGATAACCCTTTGTACTACAACAACTATCATGGTTAAAGGGAATTGTTGACTGTGTTTGAGTTTGCATTTCACCATCTCATCTTATACCACTGATTGCATTCCACACATCTCATTTCATATCTTTTCACATTCACACACAAATCCTATCATCACATTTCCATATGAATATCTCACTACATTCATATGGACCTGGCCCCGCTTATGGTTACACCATAAGTGCCCGTACTAGCATATGGGCTACGCCCTAATATACTTGTACCCCCGGTTCTGAGGCAGAGCTCTCCCTTACGTGAAAGATTACTCGCAAGCAGAGCTTTCCCCGCGTGAAAGATTACCAACCAGAACCTCCACAAAATAGATCTGATGGCATAGCCATCCAGATCCTCACCACACCGGAGCCATACTCAACACATGGGCCTTTAAGCACCACCATGTTAGTATGCACTCGAGGTTTAGCGGCATAGCCGTGCTTTAACCTCACAACCGATGCATCTCTATGCACCTACATCACATGAGATCTGGTGGCATAACCTTCCCCGAAGGTTACCCAACACAACCTCACACAACTAAAGAGATTTGGCGGCATAACCTTCCCCGAAGGTTACCCGACACAACCTCACAACACAAGAGATCTGACGGCATAACTTCTCTCCCTAGAAGATTACCCGCCACAATCCTCACAACAATGCAAACCTGCATAAACACACAAGAGATTTGACGGCATAACTTCTCTCTTTAGAAGATTACCCATCACAACCTCACACCACAACACATAAATTTCTGCAGCATAACTCTCCACAATTTCACTAAACCTTATTGTTTAGAGAGTTATACTACAGAACCAATAACCAATATGAACATAAAGCATCTCCTATGCTTTGGTGTTCATACAACCTGCATACACAACATAGATCCAAAACAACAAAACTATAACACCAAGACTCACCACTTTAAGAAGACTTCAAGATCCTCCTAGCTTTCCTTAAGCTTTGATCTTGACCTACTCTAATCTTCCACTAACCTCACTTAATTAAGAAAACTTTCTTAATTACTCTCTAATCACTTTTCAGGTGCTCTCTAGCTTTGGGAATGGAATGGTTTGGACTTGGGGTGGAGGAGCGTATTTATAGGAGTTCAGGAGGCTGCCTGGCTTCTTGGGACGTCCCAGTCGTTCATAGACACATGGAGACCTAGGCCTAGCATAGCTTTGCTTGGTGGCAACCTACACTGCCTCAGAATGCGACATCCAGGCGATCTAGGCTAGGTAGCTTTGATTGGTGGCCTCTAGGGCGTCTCAGGACATGACACACGTCATTCCTATCCCCTCTCAATGCTCATCCAATAGGCCGACTTCCCCAAGCATGTGGTGTGGTCGTGCTATTGGATATAACCCATCTTATCCATTAAGATGCTGGGTGCTTCTGTCTGATTGGTCAGCTCTTGATCCAATCCGTTTCTAAATCTCTCCACTTGCTTTCATCCACTCCTGAAGCTTCTCCTCTCTCTCAGTAGTTGGTGTTGCATCCTGATTCGTCCAAGTCAATTTCGTCTCCATTTATCACCTCAATGTCTCCGTCTGATTGGTTTGGACGATTCTTGTCTCTCATGAGCAGCTGGGTGTCTCTCCCTGATAGATTAGGTCTTCTTGGAGCTTATCCACGCCCTCTCACCTCCTTAGCAGCTGGTGTCGTTGCCCAATTGGTTTAAACTTGCTTCGTCTTCATTGGTAGCTGGATGTTGCTACATGATTGGCATGTACGATTTTGGCTCCATTGTAGTAGCTGCATGTCTTCTCCATATTGGTTATGATCATCCTTATCTTCTCCAAGTAGCTGGTGTCACCACTTGATTGGCTTAGAACAAGATTGCTCCAAATGTATGTTTCCTCGTCCAGAGGGTTTCGTACGTTTCCCTGTCCGGAGGGTTTCGTCCCCGTCATGTTTGAGAATTAAAATCTCCTATTTTAATCCTTCTCTCATTTCCATGTTTCTAAGCTTCCACATAGTTGCTTGGAAATGTGCGGAATACCTCCATCCCAACATTTACGTTTCTTGTAGTCGTTGCGGGATAGATCTTGGGCGTCCATCCCATCTCTCAATCTGCTCGTCCGATTTGCATTCTGCTTCGACCAAACTTCTTAGAATGGTCTCTTATGTCGTCCAGACTCTTCTCTTCTTGATTTGGAGAACTTTGATATTTCGCCGTCCGGTCGGCTCTCCCATGTTCGCACAATGATCGTCCCACCTGGACAATCTTGTTGTATCTTCAGTTTTGCTCGATCGTTCTTGATCCTGTCTTGACCCAAGTCTTCGTTTTGACCTCTAGAGTGAATCCCACGCCTTTGTCTTCCAATCCGAGAGCCTTGAGCTTCCCATCCCGGCCTTTGGGATGTTTTAGGCCTTTATACGGGGTATCGCACCATCGACCATGGTACACGAGTTAGGTCGTGCGGCCGCAAAGCGTTGCTTCCCGGCTCGCGCAGCATGGTCGTGCGCGGCATGTTTGTGAGTGGTCGTGGCTTGGCCTACCACGGGTCATTGCTTCCCGGGTCATGATGTGATGTGGAGTCAGGTTTTACCAAACTCCTAGACCTCTGCAAGTGCACAGATCGCGGAAGTATGGGTATCGAACACAAGGACTGGCTATTGAGTACACTTTGAAACTATGGATTTTGGATCAAGCTAAAACAAAAGTATGATTGAGGTTGTAATGGTGAACCGAACTAGCAAGTATAACGAGGTTGTAAACAATAAGGAAAAGCGCTAGGTCATAGGGGCTATCGCAGAGAAGCAAGCAATGATCAATGAAACAATGATAGATGAATTGATTAGGGATGTTGGGATATTAAGAACCGTCTAGAACACAGATCACGAATATAAAACCATTCCACTTTCGAGGCTCCGGCTCCTTTGTTAATCTACCTAGTCGCTAAACTTTTGGTATGTCCCTAGGTGATTAAATCAAGCTTTAGAATGAATAGGTTCTGATACAGTTCACTAGATTATAGTAGATCAACTTTCGCAGTCTAAGAAACCTAGCTTGTCAAAGAATATGTCCGGCGAATGATACAGCACTGTCGAGGCTCAAATCAACCTAAGATCGGATTACTAGATGCGCGGTAAAGCAATCAGCATTAGTTAAGTGCACAAGACGAGACAAAGACTCTAATATAATCCCTAGCTAATCATTGAAATCAAAGATCATGCAAGCAACTCATTGAATAGTAACCCTAGCAACCTAACTAGTGGATTACTCAGACATGATCAAAGCAAACACACATAGAGATGAAGAAAACATGATTGCAATAAAACTTAGAGTAGGAAATCGAAATACAAGGCGGCTCTCTTTTCACAAGAGGCTAAAAAGCTATATATATAGTGCTAGGTCTTTTGAGGCGGCTTAGGGTTAAGCCGGGCCTTGAAAATATGAAATCGGGCTTCAAAACGGGCTTCGGGTCGACCGCGGCGTTCGGACGGTCGGTCGGGACGATCGGCCGGAAATCGGGTCGTGGCCGTGGTCGGATCGATCGGATCGATCGTGGCCGGACGGATGCGTGTCGGCCGCTGTGGTCGGTCGGATAAAGACTTGGCCGATGAAATCTCTCGGCCGACGTGAGGCATAGTTCCCCGGGTCGGACGGAACGTTCGTGCGTAGAACGCAACACAAGTTGCGCGGACGCGAGGCGTTGCTTCCCGGCCGCGCAACTCACCTCACGTACGCGCACGAACGCTTCGTCCGACCCGGGAAACTATGCCTCGCGTCCGGCCGAAGATTTCCATCGGCCAATTCCTATCCGCCCGACCACGCCGGCCGATCGTCATAACATCCGGCCCCGACCGTTCCGACTCGGCCAAAGACCCGACTGTCCGGCCGATCGTCCCGACGACCGTCCGAACGCCGCGGTCGACCCGAAGCCGTTTTTGAAGCCCAATCCGCACAATTCAAGCCCAAAGCCGGCGCCGACCTAGCTAGATTAGGTTTAGCCGCTTCTTATACTTAGAGCATTATAAATACTTCTTTTTAGCCTTGTAACTCAAGAAGGAGAGAGACCACAATCTATTTTACATCTTAATAAAGTTTTGCTTGCTTTTACTTTGTTCTTGCTTGTTACTCTTTCTAGAGAGGATTCGAATCTCTGTTCTTATGAATATGAATTCGTTTCCTTCTCTATGTCTGAGTAGTTTACTTGTTAAGTGATAGGAAGTCAAAGGATAGCATTCATGTATGCTTGATGATTGATCACAATTAGGGTTTTACTTATAATCTCCATCTTTGCTTATACTTAATGCTTGTTGTTAATCTGGCCAATTAGCATATGCCTTTAGGTTGATTTGAGCCTCGACAGTGCTGTATCATTCGCCTGAACTAGTATTTGGTGGGCAATCTCTTTTAGACTGCGACAGTTGATCTACTTGTAGGTTGTGAACAATTGATCTTGATCGAACTAATGCTTGATTTAATCACCTAGGGACATACCAAAAGTTTAGCGACTAGGTAGATTAACAAAGGGGTCGGAGCCTCGACAGTGGAATGATCATACCATAGTGTTTCAAGTTCTAGATTAGCACCTAAGTGCGGTAACCCTAATTGATTGATTTCATGCTTCTTGAATTGCTTATCTCAAGACTATCCTATTGCTTAGCCTTTCTCTCCTATTGAATCCTTCTTTATTACTTGCATGCTTTACTTTCTCTGCACTCAACCAACTTATACTTTTGCCCTAGCTTGTTCTCAAACTCATAACTTGTAGTGTGCAATCTGGTCCTTGTGTTCGATACCCGTTTACTACTTCTGACCTGTGCACTTGCAGAATCAGGGATAGGAAAGGGGAAGACCTGATCCCGCGATCAAGTTTTTGGCGCCGTTGCCGGGGACCAATTCGCACCTACAAGTTCTTGCAAGAGAGCTAGTCTAGGGTTTTCACTTTTCCTTTTTGTTTTTGTTATTTCCTTTTTCTTTGATTTTGTTTTTCCTTTTTTGGTTTTTCCTTTTTGTTTTTAGCTTTTCAGGTTTTCCTAGTTAGATATGGAGAAGGAGCCACAAGCCTCTTCCCCTATAAAGGCGATGCCAATTCGCCACATACCACCTCAAAGCACCTCTTGAGCGAACAAGAGATGTTAGATCCTCAAGCACCACCACCTTCATGGGATAGTCCTCCAAGACCATCCACTTTGAAGACAAAGAAGAAACTTCTTCCTTACCTTGAAGCAGCCGACCTGGAGACGTCTAGCCAAGCCGCATCACACCAAGAAGAACACCTTCTAGCCACACCAGAAGAGGAGATTAACCCTGAGCTGATCGAGTTCGTGAAGAGAGATCAATTCCATGATCTGTTTTCAGAGTATGCGCTGGAGCACATAGATCACTTTGACAACTTTGTGATTCCTATGGAGTTTTTGACTTTGAGAAGAAGATGATGCTATTCAGCACATCACTAGCTGGACCAGCACTAGATTGGGCGCAGCATGAACCACTCTCTACAATCGAGTCATGGATCGATTTTAGAGAAGCTTTCTTGGAAGAGATTTGCAAGGAAGCCACCTTTCAAATCCAAGTACCACCACTACTCTCATCAGCTGGAGAGAGAGCGTGATGAAGAAGAATGGGGAGGCACACCACCTCATCAATGATCTAATCAAGCATGTGGAGAGAATCCTTTCTACAACTCTATTTCAGAATGTGCAAAGGAGCATCTATGCAACTTTGAGCAGCTTTGTCATGACTATGGACTTGGAGACAACCCCAAGAAGATACAACTTTTCCAACTATCACTAGCTGGACAAGCCAAAGAATGGGCTAAGTTCAATGCCCAACATGCTTTCAAGACTTGGAATGGATACAAAGGAAGCTTTCCTCCACAGATTTGAAAGGTCCTGTTTATGTCCCACCACCACGCCCAAGCTATTCACAATACCATCCATCATCACCAGACATAAACAAGACACCATTTTCCCAAGGGAGAGCTATCAAGCTGCGCGCCTAACCAAGATTGAAGATATGCTTCAAGAGTACTTGAGAAATCAAGAAGAAGTACAAAGAAGATGGAGAGAAGAATCGATTTCATCCATGAGAGCCTTGGAAACAAATCTGAAGTCCTATTCAAGCAAGTGATCAAGCTTGATGAAGACATTAAGAAGTTAAGAGAGGATCATGATCGATCTTTGACCCTAGTTAAGCTTGATGTTGCTTCCAAATATCAAGAGTTGCTGAACAAGAGCATGAGAATTGAAGATACTAGCTATGGCAATAGCAAGCATCTTGGATCAATCTACAACCGCCTACAAGCCCTTGAAGGATCATCTCATGCCACTTACAAGAGAGAGAGGAGTCCAACACCCAACCACCCTCCCTTTTATTGCAATGCCATCACAAGAAGAAGCACTACTCAAGTCCATGAGGACAGTGAAGAAGAAGAAGAAAGAGAGTATGAGGAACAATTGAATGATGAAGATGAAGAGCAGAGCATCGACATCAATGCTTCCCCAAAACAGAGCATGGATACACCAAGCCCTAGAGACCCTCGTTTCTCACCAAGAAGTCAAGCTTCTACACTTCCAAGACTTGGAAGCAATGCAAAGACCATCACCACCTACTGAAGAAGAAGATACTTGGCAGTATGATCCCATTGATCCCAACAAGATAAGCCCCATGAAGCTTAAAGAGTTCAATGCTAAGGTGAAATCACTTCCATTCTATGTCACTTTTGAAGAAGCTTGGGATAAACATGGTCTAGTGGAGTTCTTTTTCACAACTAGTGAAAACAAAGAAGAGATACACCAACTTTCAGGAAGGCACGATTTCCCCTTGCCCCTCATGCAGTCAATCAACCACCATCACCACCATCATCACCACCACCCAAGTGGTATGTCAATTCCATATCAAGAGAGAAGCTTGCTGAGTTCAATCAGTTTGTCCAAACTCTTCCAGCCAGCATGTCTTTCCAAACAAGCTTGGCGCCACTACCCATTCACCACCTTCTTCCACAACTGCAAGGAGACACCTGAGGACATAAAGAGCTTTTTGAGAAAGCTAAAGTTCAGCCTACCTTCAAGACCCTCTACAAGATTGAAGACCCAGGTCAATTCTCTATTCCCTGTCAAGTAAATGGTCATTACTTTGATAGAACACTATGCGATTCTGGCTCTTGCATAAACCTCATGCCAACCCAAACCGCCAAACTCCTTGGCATCACACGCTTGCAACCTGCTCAAATTAGTATTGGACTTGCTAACCATACTATAGCCAAGCCAAGAGGAGTTGTTATTGATGTTCTTCTAGAGATTGGAGATATCAAGATCCCGGTGGACTTTCATGTCATAAACATTCAAGGAGGATGTGACACACCATTGATACTAGGCCGACCCTTTTTGGCCACTGCTGGAGCTGTCATGGACCTTCCAAACCGGCGAATGTCCTTAGCCAATGTGACAAGACAGTCTTTTACAAGACCATACCATTCATCGCACCAAACAAGCTGTCTTACCTCATCACTGCCCAAGGCCGCCCAAGAGAGCCACCAGACCACACTCAAGGTCACAATGAGACAAGAACTAAAAGACTATGTCTCAGGCCGTGCCCTTACCCCATCTCCAACTAAGAGATCCTATCAGTCAAGCTAATGACTAAAAAGAAGCGCTGCATGGGAGGCAACCCATGAAAGGTGTTTTTCTTTACTTTTCTTTTCAATTAGTTTTAGTTAATGTCTAGTTTTGTTTTGAGTTTTGGATACAGGAATCTAAGAACCACACAATGGTAAAGAAGATATACCACAAGAAGAATGTTCATAGTTGGCGCGACTTGATGGCCGAGCAGAACCTCTCCACGCTCGCCCATGTCCTCTCAAGCGCCCAACACACCATCCCATCTCATTCCATCTGCATCTCACCCATCCCACCTCACCACACTTGCATTCCATCACTACCATCATTCCACTGCATTCACCATTCTTCAAGTAACACAAATCAGGTTACATCTTTCTTTTTACATTCACAACCACTTTATTACCTCTTTCTTTAACTCCCTTAATTGGATTTTCTTTCACCGGGACGGTGCAAGTTAAGTCTGGGGGGATTGTCGGTACTAATGTGTTTGTTCATGGTTGTTTTGATCTTATAATGGTTTTTCCTACCCACTTTTTCAAAACTTCTGTTTTATTGAGTCAAAACCAGTCCGGAACAATGAACTTGCTTTGAGATTTGATAGTGTATGCTAACAATCTATGACCCTAGAGCAAACATCAGCTGAAGGCACAAGCCTAACAGAAGCTCCTACAGTGGATCGCATGCTAGCTCAGCGAAATTTCTAAGGTAACCAAGCAATCTAGAGTTAACCTCACCCTTAATCAATCTTAATAACTCTTGTCAAGGGGATTGGCATACATGTCGACAGTTCCTTGCTTGATTTTCAATGAGATTTGTCTAAAGAGTTCTCCTCTCTCTCCCATCCCAAATGGTAAGTAATGTTTATGAGAAAAGCTCAAAGAGCACAAGGAAAACAAGTAAGCATGAGGAATGCATATGTCTGTACCTTCATGTCTTATGGAATACCTTATCAAACAAGGAACAAGCTAAAGACTTATCCTGTGGTTGAAAGAAGGGTCAATAGAAAAAATAAAATGATACCCTAGAAAAGTAGGGAGAAATTGACCTTTCAAAGTTCTGATGTGAGAAAGAGAGAGGAAAAGAACTCATTGCACTTCAAAGACAATCTTGGAGAAGATCAAGTGGGTAAGAACAAGTTCAATTGATCGATTTCCCTTGATAAAGAACTCACGCTTTAAATTTATGCAAGAGGTTAGCAATAGAGAGTTTGGATTGCTGGATGAGACTAGTTGGGTTGGTATTGTTCGCTAAACTTGCAGGGTGTATGTGAAGCTAACCTTATGTTGCTATGTTCTTAGTGGAATACAGGAAAGGAACCTTTCACAGGATTTTCAAAGAAGCAAGGGAGTTCCCACGTTTTCAAAACCTCTTCACTAGTTTAGATTCTTTTTGCTTGGGGACAAGCAAAGATCTAAGTCTGGGGGAGTTGATATACCTCTATTTTACCTACTTTTTATGCTATTTTACTATGGTTTTCTAATGGTTTTTAGTGGATTCTTGTGTTAAAAGGTAGTTTTTATGGATTTATAGTGCAAAGAGTCATTTTAGGTAAAAAGGTGCATTATGGAGCAAAACAGGAGATTTGGACTTAAACCAGTTCAATGCCCCTGCATCAACTTTGGATGGAGCTAGAAAAAGATCTACTCAATGGATTTCATCAAGACCAGTTCCCTGCGTGCTCTGATTGAGTTAACTTTCCAACGCAACTGGAACGGCCTAATTTGGATGAGTAGAAAAGGAGTTATACCAAAAGAGTGAACTGTCCAGACGGCCATATCGAGAATCAGCGCCAACCGCACAGACCGGCTGGCCGAGAAACTATTGTTTCGCGCTCGGCCAAAGCCATGTCCGTCCGACTGAAGTCTCGGCCAAAGTCCAAATCGCTCGGCCGATCACGCTCCACGACCCGGGAAACTCAAACCTGATATACCTCTAATTTACCCACTTTTTATACTGTTTTAGTATTGTTTTCTAATGGTTTTTGGCAGGTTTTCTATCTAAAAAGGTAGTTTTACTGTGTTTATAGTGTCTAGAGTCTAAACAGGTGAAATGATGCATTTTGGAGCAAAACCATAGGATTTGCACTTCAAGCCAGCTCCATGCACAAGCACCAACTTTAAGAGGGCCCAGAAAAAGATCTACTCAATGGATTTCATCAAGACCAGTTCCCTGCGTGCTCTGATTGAGTTAACTTTCCAACGCAATTGGAATGGCCTAATTTGGATGAGTAGAAAAGGAGTTACAACCAAAAGAGTGAAGACTGCTCCAGACAGCTCTACCGAGAATCAGCGCCCAACCGCGCAGTCCGGCTGGCCGAGGAACGAATGTTCCACGCTCGGCCAGAATCTCGTCTGTCGTCTGAAGTCTCGGCCAAAGTCCAAAACCGTTCGGCCGCGCGCAAGTCACGACCCGGGAAACTATGCCCGCGGTCGGCCAAGCCACGCCACGACCGCGCACGACCAAACCGCACGAGCCGGGGAGTAACGCCTCGCGGCCGCGCAACTCATCCAGCGCACCACGCACGAACGTGCCGTCCGACCCGGGAAACTACGTCCTGCGTCCGACCGAGATTTCATCGGCCAAGTTTTCACCCGTCCGACCACATCGGCCGACCACGCATCCGTCCGGCCCCGACCGTTCCGACTCGGCCAGAACCCGATTGTCCGGCCGGACTAATGCTGATTGCTTTACCGCGCATCTAGTAATCCGATCTTAGGTTGATTTGAGCCTCGACAGTGCTGTATCATTCGCCGGACATATTCTTTGACAAGCTAGGTTTCTTAGACTGCGAAAGTTGATCTATCTATATCTAGTGAACTGTATCAGAACCTATTCATTCTAATGCTTGATCTAATCACCTAGGGACATACCAAAAGTTTAGCGACTAGGTAGATTAGCAAAGGAGCCGGAGCCTCGAAAGTGGAATGGTTTTATATTCGTGATCTGTGTTCTAGATGGTTCTTAATATCCCAATATCCCTAATCAATTAATCTATCATTGTTTCATTGATCATTGCTTGCTTCTCTGCGATAGCCCCTATGACCTAGCGCTTTTCCTTTATTGCTTACAACCTCGTTATACTTGCTAGTTCGGTTCACCATTACAACCTCAATCATACTTTTGTTTTAGCTTGATCCAAAATCCATAGTTTCAAAGTGTACTCAATAGCCAGTCCTTGTGTTCGATACCCATACTTCCGCGATCTGTGCACTTGCAGAGGTCTAGGAGTTTGGTAAAACCTGACTCCGCATCAAGTTTTTGGCGCCGTTGCCGGGGACTGCAGCAGTACCTTTGGAACTCGACTAGGATCTAGTCTAGAACCTTTTCCTGTTTTGCTTTTCTTTTGCTTTTGAATTTTTAGTTTTTGATTTCCTTTTCTTTGATTTTTGCTTTTGTTTTTGTTTTTCCCTTTTGATTTAACTTGTTTCCAAGACTCTTTTCAGGTGCATGACTAGGAGGTCCAACAAGGACAACCTAGTTGAACATCCAGAGATAGACAAGCTTGAGAAGCAACTTAGGAAGCAAAAGCCCAAGAGATGGCCGACGAAGCAGCTCGCGCTCACGCCGCTGAAGTGGCGCGCGCTCAAGAAGAAGGAAGAGATCCACCTCCTCCTCCTCCTAACCAGATGCGCACAACCCAAGCTGGAGCACCTACAATCGGAGACTATGACTCTGCCGATGCTTTCTTCATGGATAGAAACCCTATCCATCCACCACTTCCTGCAAGGAATGACTATGAGATCAAGCCTCAGATCATTGCATTGGTTAGACAGAACCAATTCAATGGACTTCCAGCTGAGCACCCTCTTGATCACATAGAAAACTTTGAAGAAATTTGCAGCACTACAAGATCCAATGGAGTCTCTGCTGACTACCTTAAGTGCAAGCTCTTTTCATTCTCTCTTGGCGACAAAGCTTCAAGATGGTTGAAGTCTCTGCCAGCTCACTCCATCACCACTTGGGATGAGTACAAGGCTGCATTCATCAACCACTTCTACACCAAACAGAGATCAATTTCTGTGAGGAACAAGATCTCCACTTTCGCCAAGCCAACAATGAATCTTTCTATGAGGCGCTAGATCGATTCAAGGAGTACATTAGGGACTGCCCTAATCATGGTTTCAATGAGGGAAACCTATGGAACATCTTCTATCGTGGCATAGACCACAAGTACAAGCTTTCATTGGACACTGCAAGCAATGGAAACTTCATGACCAAGACTGTTGATGAAGCTAAGGTTCTTATTGAGAATCTTGCAGCTAGTGATTGTAACAACTGTCCTGATTATGACCGCTCAAGCCGCACCACTACTAGCTCCCCTGATTCTTTTCAAATGACTGAACTCAAGAACATGATGGCTCAAGTTCTTAAGGGACAGCTCAAGCATATCAATGCAATAGAAGGGATGAGTGATGCTAATGAAGATTCATCAAGAGAATGCATGGGAGATTTCTCTAATGAAGCCAATGAAGAAGATGTGAACTACATTGGAAACTATGGGAACAAGGGATACAATCCAAGCTATCGCCCAAACCCCAACATGTCTTATAGAAACCCCAATGTGGAGAATCCTCAAGACCAAGTGTATCCTCCAAGGTACCCA